ACCCATTTCTTCTGTTTCTGTTAGCGATTCAAGTGGGTCTGGGAACCCATCAGCCCCTTTTGCTTCATTGCTCACTGGGTTCCTTACTTTTCTTACATTTCATCTCTCTCAACTCCTCTTCTCTGCTTCACTCTCCCTTCTTGCTTCGCCCCAGCTCGAACGACCTGCCGCGCCGCTCGAGCTCGCTTTTGTGCTCGTTCGGTTTCTTGTGGTTTCAGGCGGCGACAATGCCTCATCGGCGTCGGCTTCCAAGGATTTTCGCCGTCGGGCGATGGTTTCGTTCTATCTGGTGCTGTTTGTAGTGGCAACTGCCGTTTCGGGTTCCTTGGCGGCGGTTTCTACATGTTGGGGGAAAACAGATGGTCTTAGCAGTGCGTGGCATACGGGTCTTTTGATGGGTTTGATTTATGGCCTTTTCTATGTCTACAAGAAGAGATGGGTTCTAACGTTTCCAATCATACAGGTTACCTTTTGGTCCTTGGTTTGTAATTTTAATCAGAATCATTCTCATCTTCTGTTTGGGAACTATATTGAGTAAGTATATGTATGTCTTAGGATGCATAAGAAAAGAACGTGGAGATTTTGAGTGCTGCACACCTTACTGCTTCTTTGGGTATCACTTATGGTTAATTTGTATAGGTTTTTCTGTAAATGCGTTTCTTTCAGAGTTGTCTGTCGTTAATTGTTTATGGTCACAATTATGCATATCTGTTCATTTTGAAGATTTCTCTATACAATCATTAGCTCGCTAAGTGTCTGTGAGATCCACGTCGGTTGGAGGGGAACGAAACATTCTTTCTAAAGGGTGTGGAAACCTTTCCCTAGTAGACACGTTTTAAAACCGTGAGACTGACGGTGATACGTAACGGGCCAAAATAGACAATATCTAGTAGTGGTGGACTTATGTTGTTACAAATGGTATCGAAGCCAGACATCAGGCGGTGTGCCAGCGAGGATGCTGGCCCCCAAGAGGGGTGGATTGTGAGATCCCACATCGGTTGGAGAGGGGAATGAAGCATTTCTTATAAGGGTGTGGAAACCTTTCCCTAACAGACGCGTTTAAAACCGTGAGGCTGACGGCTATACGTAACGTGTCATAACAGACAATATCTGCTAGCAATGGGCTTAGGCGTTCTTTGTTCAGTAGAATTTAAGCTACCGTATTTACTTCACGACTTATCTTTGATATTTGTGTTCTTGCATGTTTCATGGTCAAATTTTCAAACCTCCTTTTACTGATTGCAACTATTTTTATCAACAGCGTCCCCCATTTTTCAGTTTTAAGATGGGGTTTCCGTCAGCTACCATGTTGGCTTCCAAACTTTCTGCTGCAGCTTTCCTATTTTCAGCGGTATTAATGGCGCTTCTGCCGGATCAACTTAAGAGCAATGCTACAGTCGGGAAATTCATTGCTAACCAGGCCATTCTATTCATTGGAAGCTTTGCAGTATTTCTCTCTTGGGAATTGACTCACCACTTACATCGGGTTAGTTCATTGTTCATATATTATGTCAATGGCATTATAATCTCATGCTTTATTTCGTTGTCAATTTTTATGTTCTACAATTTCTTGGAGAACGACAAGTTTTGACATCATGTATCTTAATCATGCACACTCTTGACTAAGTGGGTTCTCTGGTCATGTTTTTCCTCTGAATTATGTCAGTGTCGCAACAATCCTTATCATAGGGTTGTTCAAGGGTTCAAAAGTTTCGAAGTTTAGGAGCATAATTGAAACTTTGGAACGGGAGTCTATCCCGTCCATCTTATAGGGAAGAAAACGAGAGGTTTTATGCTTCAGATGGACTAGATTTGGTTATGACAGAGCTAGAGACTTAACTCCAGTTTTATGCTTCACTGTGTGTATTTTATAATTTTAGGTTCTACACACCAAGAGGTTTGCTTTTGCACCTCCAAAGGGATCTGCAGCTGTGGAAACAAATCCGAGCGAGTACCTCTTTGCAGCGTTGGACGACAGCAACCCAGGGTCTCTTTTGCAATATCTTGCATTTCTTGATCTCTGTATGGTTTGTGAGACTAATGTCGATATATGGCGAAGAGCTGCATTTTTTGAAGAATCGGGCGAGACGTACAAGCGAGTTGTATCCATATCATTGAGGCCTCTGGAGCAGTTTGCCCTGAACTTGGGTGAAGGTTTGGAAGGTGCTGTGGACGTAACCTCCCAACTATCCAAACAGTTATTACCGCCAAAGGACTCTCACTTCGACTTGAAACAATTGGAAACTCTCAAGAACTTTCAGGTTGGGTATATATTTTGATTGCACTATAACTATTCTCTTCATTGCTTATTTCATTTTTATTTAGTTTTGTTGGAGGAGGGGCAGGGGCTGTTTTGAATCTCCATGGGAGTTCTGCAGTGTTGTAGGTTTTTCTGGATTGGAATCAGTGTCAACTCTGTTCTTATCATGCATGATATCTAAGTATTATGGTACACATTTTATGTAGTTTTGTTCATGACTGCACAAGACCAATATTGGAATCTTATGCATGATATCTAAGCCATGTTTATGAATACCAAGTGAAACGGTTTAAACGTTAGTGTGAGATCCCACATTGGTTGGAGAGGAGAACGAAAGATTACTTGTAAGGGTGTGAAAATCTCTCCTTAACAGATGTGTTTTAAAATCTTAAGGGGAAGCCCATAAGAAAAAACCCAAAGAGGACAATATCTGCTAGCAGTGGACTTTGGGCAGTTACAAATGGTACCAAAGCCAGTCATCCGGTGGTGTGTCAATGAGGACGTTGGGCCCTCAAGAGGGGTGGGTTGTGAGATCCCACATCGGTTGGAGAGGGGAACGAAGCATTCCTTATAAGGGCGTGGAAACCTCTCCTTAGCATATGCGTTTTAAAATCTTGAGGGGAAGCCTAGAAGGGAAGGCCCAAAGAGAACAATATTTACTAGCGGCTAGCGAATCACCAGGTGGTGTGCTAGTGAAGGATGTTGGGCTCCAAGGGGGATGGATTGTGAGATCCCACATCGGTTGGAGAGGGGAACAAAGTATTCCTTGTAAGAGTATGGAAACCTCTCTCTAGTAGATGCGTTTTGGGATGATATCTACTAAAAGTTGACTTGGGCTAAGCATATTTTTACCAGATGCATATAAAAAAATGGACGCAAACAAACTCAATTCACTTTCAAATTCTTATGCTTGCCCGATGTAGAAGACAGCATGACCATTATATTTCTGTTCTTATCATATGGGGCCTCCTCATGGCATCTGTATCTAAGAGCAGCCACTGTGATCCTGTCCTATCTATCTCGTCTTTATTTTGCTTGAATTTGTGTTCTTTACCCATTCGTTACTGTGAACATCTGTGTGGCTATTGGATATAACCGATGATGCTTGCTAAACTTTGCAGGTGTATGCATGGTGTGCCCGAGCGGTTTCTATGTTGACCGCACGCTCACATGTGGAAGATCAATTTGGGGTTGCGCAGCTCTCTGGTAGTAATGCTACTGTTATGTCAACACTGTTGTCTTGCCTGCTTGCTGTTGAGGTGCTGATGGGGAAGAAGACTTGTATACAATCTTCAAACGATCTATTTGGCCCGGCCGGTATCAAATGGGCAACATCAAGTATTAGAAGAGTAGATTCTTCAGTTGGTAAAAAGAAAAGCGGTCCGCTGCATTCGAACGCATATGCAATTGCAGACGTATTGAGGGCGTCGATCTATCTCATTGTTTCTGCATTCCATGACGAGATGCTGAACAGTGCCAAGTCGGGTGTTCTTGAGAAAGATTGGATCACTTATGAAAAGCTCCCTTTCGGTACTCGCGAGTTGCTTCTGCAAAAATTGCATATTTTCTTGGACTTCGAAGCTTAGATAAAAGGGTGAAGTCGTCATCATTTTCCCGTTTGCGCCCCGTTCATCGAGTTATACCGAACCACCTTTAAGGCAGTTTTGTTGTGTTTGTTTCTGAAGTGTTGTAGCTGGAATATGAAGAGAGCTTGTTAGACTAATGAAAGTTCACAAACTAAGTTGGTAATTCTTAATACATTGCCCTTTATAAACACCAATCTTTCAGCTTGAATATGTCTTTTTTTTGACAACCCTTGGAATTTCATAGCTGCTACTTAGCTTTAGTTTTTAGAGTAGAATTGTAACCGTCCAAGCTAACAGATATATGACAGGTATTGTTCTTTTTGGGTTTCCTCCATCCCCTTCTCTTCAAGGTTTGAAAACGTGTTTGCTAGGAAGAGGTCTACTGAGTCCTTGCAGGTATATTGCCTAGTGGTTGACTCTAATACCAATTGTAATAGCTCAAACCTTGAGCAAATATTGTCATTTTTTGACGAGCAAATATTGTCATTTTTTTATTTTCTCTTTCGACCTTCTCTCCAAGATTTTGAAACGTGTCTGTTGGGAAGAGGTTTTCATGCAGTAATGTTTCGTTTTCTCCTCCAAATCGACGTGGGATTTTATATATTTATAAAAAAAATTTATTTATTTTTTTTTTTTGCAAAATCCATGTGAGGTTTAAATGTTTTCTAGATTTTTTTTTTCATGTCTTAAAGGATATAATGTAACTTTATTTTTAAAATAATGTATGTTTTTTTTTCATAAAAAACTAATGATTATATTAATTTATATCTTAAATTTTTTTAATAATGGAAGGAATTTAAACTATTATTTTTCACAAAATCACCTAAATTAATTTATTTTTCAATAAACAAAAATGATGTAATTATTTCCAAATAAGGTAAAAAAAAAAAATAGAGGAAGATGATAGTAGTGAAAAAGGTGATTCTTACATTTTGTCTAATATAGATTAATTATTTAATTTTTAATTTTTTTTATAATAAATTGTCTAAATTAATTATTTAATTATTAATTTTTTTTTTATAATAAATTGTCTAAATTAATTATTCATTAATATTTATGATTTAAATGGATATAATTATTTAGAAATTCGATTAAACAGTGGGGTAAATATTCTTTTTATTTATTTATTTATTATAATTTAACCGTTTTGCAAGTGCTGCCCATTAAAATTACAGAAAGGCAAAGTTACTTGGATGCGATTAATGCGAGCAGCATCTTTTCGCATTCTCTCATCCAAACCCTAGTTCATACTCGAGGGCATTTCAATCTCCATCCCAAAATTCCTCTGTTGGTTTCAATTATTTTCTGCTCATGGCCATGGAATCGAATTCCAGCCCTAATTCGTTAGGAGAGGAAGCGAGGAACTGGCTTGAACTGCCTGCAGATGTCACGTCTATGATTCTGCTGAAGTTAGGCCCCGTTGATATTCTCACCAACGCTCAAGACGTTTGCTCTTCGTGGCGTAAGATCTGTGAGGACCCTCTCATGTGGCGCGTCGTCGATATGCGCTATTCCGGTGATTGGTGGGACATGGACTACGATTTGGAGGAGATGTGCAGGCAGGCTGTTGACCGTAGTTGTGGCCAATTGATTTACATTAAAATTGAGCATTTTGGCACCGATGATTTGCTCCAGTATATTACTCAGAGGTATGTTATTGTTTAATTTTAGTATCACTATCTTAGATTTTCGTAAGGTTCTCTTGTTGGAACTATAGGATAGAGATAAATCAACCTAAAATCTCTACTGTAATGGAATAGCGTTGGATGTTCTGGCCATTACGTAAACGTGCTGTTTCAATTTTATTTTTCAAACGTGCTGCTCTATTTGTTTTGTTCTAGTTTTTATAATTTAAAATCTGCTTTTGTTCTTTGTTATTTTATGTTTCTGTAATGCACATGTCTAACGTGAAAGCATACAGACAAACGAATAAGGGCGAACATACAGGACCAAAATTGAAACTGAACCATTTATATGGCTTTGTATAGATTAGTATATATATATATATATTTAATTCATTTATTGCATGTAATAATCAGTTTATGGATAGATAATCTGCCTTACGTTATCTTATGATGTAGAGGGTGACAAGTTTGATGTGAAGCTTAGAATCAGTTTTCTCTGACCTGAGACAGGGAACCTAATTGCCAGCTCTTGCTCTGCAATTTCTTGTGGAAATTCTATTTCATTTTTTTCCCATCACAGTTGTCAAATATTTTATTAAAATTCTTCTTCCCGTGGCACGGATATTGGAAGTTCAACCCAATGAACATGGAGCATATGCAATGCCATTAGTTTGTCTTATCTTGGTCTCCCATTTAATAGAGAAGAAAATTTTCACCAGTAAGAAAGGAGAGGGGCCTCTTGTAAGTCATGGGAGACTGGAAGATTCTCTCGGGCTATTTCTTATGGACAAAGCTCTGATGGTTTATGTGTTTATGTGGTGTCTTGATTTTGAATTTGTCTTTTCTTGATTTTGACGGTTCCATATATTAATTTGTTGCAGTTCAAATCAACTTAGAGAACTCCGCCTTGTATATTGCAATCGCATCTCAGACGAGGGATTGATTAAAGCAGTTTCAAAACTTCCCTTGTTGGAGGATCTTGAGATATCTTTCGGTTCATTTGATGTGGAAACTTTGGAAACTCTTGGTCAATGTCGCCCTCTTCTGAAATCACTAAAACTGAACCGTCAGTTTTACAGACGGGTGGAATGTGATAAGGGAGCCCTTGCTATTGCTGAAAATATGCCTAATCTACGTCACCTTCAGATATTTGGCAACAGCCTTACTAATAGGGGCTTGGAGGCCATTCTTGATGGTTGTCCTGACTTAGAATCTCTTGATTTACGCCAGTGTTTCAATTTGAATTTGGCGGGACAGTTGGGTGCAAAATGTTCTGAGAAAATAAAAAATTTACGGTTGCCTCATGATCCCACTGATGACTATGAATTTTCAACCGAAATTGTTGAATATGGTGATGATTATGAGGAGGATTATGGTTACCCTTTTGGCTTGTCTGACACCGATTTATTGACTGATGACGACGACTATTATGAATTCTCAGGGGGCAGCGATTTCTCTGACTATACAGACTTGTATTTTTATTGAAGGTTCGGTTTTAGAAGCATAGTGAGAGAAAACCCTGGTCTGCCTAATATCGCTTGCTGCCCCCTCTGCCAATGGTAGTTGGTCCAATGAGCCTAGCAACTGCTGAACTGCAAGAGAGAAGAATGAGAGGCTCTGTTTCCACTAGAGTAAGTAATTTTGTTGTTCTCTTCTACATGCAATAAGTAAAAGCCTAAAACAACTTCTGGGTATCTTCATTTTGTGTGTTTATAGATGAAGATAATTCTAGGAAGTCTAAGAAACATATCAAAACTCAACTAACCAAGTGATATGTTGTAAAGTCACTAGTTCACGTGTCAAATATGCTTGTTTATACTTGTACTAATCGATTTTATGCTATATCACTTGGATTGTAAAATGTTGATATATCTTGCAATGTATAGTGGTTATTTTATAAATTTGTGTTGCTCGTTTGATTGATATCTCACAGATGATGGTGGAGATTCCAGTGATTAGATATGCTGCCCTTTTTTTTTTTTTCATTTCTTAACACCGTTGTTAGTTTGCAATATTCAAATAATATTCATCCTTATTCTTCTTTGTCGATGAAGACGAGAATTGCAACGGAGGCAGCGTTGAGAAAAGATTTGATATGATTGTTTTATGACTTGAGGTCCAAAAAAATCTTTAGTACCTATGAATTAGGAGGGGCTGCTCTCATGGAAGAAGAATGAAATAGTATTTGATTGGCATTTAGAGAATACTAATTCTCAGCTTCCTGTCATCCTCATGAGTGGAAGAACAAGGCAGCAAGAACACTTCGGCAAAACAACAAATGAATTATATCCTTCAAATGAATTATACAAAATTAAAGTTCTGAACTTTCACGATTAGATTCTATTTTCAATGTTATGTTTTGATCTCTAAAAGAAAAAAGAAATATTTATAAATAAATTTATATATTGTAGTTATTAATTTTTTGTGTGGATAAAGTTAAAATATTTTTAATTCTATGTTAAAACTATTCAAAGTTATGGCGGAGATAATGATACAAATCTAACCCGTGGGCCGCGATTCCGCTAAACAGTGTCTCAAGAAAATTTAAAAAGAATTAAAAACAAAAAGGCGCGCGCCGGTTTCGCGTAAAAATTCAAAGATATATATAGAGGTAGAATTTTCGCGCCTCGGCATCGTCTTCTTCTACGTTTTCGTTCAAAGCCGACATTTCCACTGCTTCGTACCTCAATCCCCTCTTCACTACGTTTTACTTGGGTATATTATTCTTGACTGGTTCTCTCAATGGGGGATCCCAGCCATCTGGAGAAGATGGGAATAGAGCTTAAATGCCCAATTTGGTAACCCTTCTCCCTCCTCTCAATTTCTTGAATGCTATAATCATCTATCTCTCTCTACTTCTTTCTTTGCGTTGAGTTTCGTTTTCTCCCAAGAAAATTGATAAGGATACGAGAAACTCTGTTGCATTTACTTTTTCTCTTAGCGGCGAATTGGGATAATTTTCAGATTATGTTTCTATGGATTTGTTTGTTGATGATGTATATTTATCTGATTTATGTGCATTCATCTTGGTTTTTGCTACTTCTATCGCTATTTTGCCGGAAATTGTCTATAGTCTGAGTCTTTTGAACTCTGCCGCTTCACTCGGATGCAACCACATATTCTGCTTGTAAGCCTCTCAACACAATCGCTTTTCATTCCTATTTAATTATTTGTAAAGGCGTTAGTGAAGGAAGTTCTCTAAACTCTCATTTCTTTGAATTTCAGTGTATGTATAGAGAAATCAATGAAATCGGGTTCGAACTGCCCAGTTTGTAAGGTGCCTTATCGGCGAAGAGGTATGATTTCATTAACATTTGGATGTCTTAAACTGCATATATATCTCCGTTTTATGAATAAAACAGACGTGCATATTCTGTCTTTTTTTTTTTTTTTTTTTTTTTTTTTTTTTTTTTTTTTTTTTT